TTCATTCAAAGCTGTTCAATAAGTAATATTGATTAAGCTCTCTAAGGCACTGTTTTAGCTACTAGAGATAAATAGATAGATAAAACACAATCCAGATCTTAGGGAATTTATAATTTATAATTTATAATTCATGAACTAGCTTTTAGTACTACAAATATTGGAGAGGACAGCTGTAATATTTTTAAAGATAATACTTTTTAAAAGGTAAGTTTAAGCAAACTATTTTATTTCTTTTGCATGGTGTACTTATGTGTATGTTACCTGTCTCCCCAGCTACTTCGTAATTAGCTTTAGGACAGAGGCCAATTGTCTTCTGCTTCCTTCAGGATATCCAGCACAATGCTAGGTACAGGGTAATTTTTAATGAACTCCTTCATTCAGCAAATACTTAAATGTCTACATGTTGCAAGGTCTTCCTCAAGATGCTAAATAGGGTATAAAAACAAATATAAGACATGGTACTTGAATAAGTTTTTAATTTACTCTGGAAATTTTCAGCAAGGTTATAAATGAATGAATGAATAAAGCATTTATTAAGTGCTTTCTTTGTGTAAATGCTTTGTGTATGCTGAGTGCTTGGGAAACAAACAGAAAAGAGAATTTCTGCTCTCAGGGAGCTCCCATTCTAATGGAGGAGGTCATACCTAGGGAAAGTTTCAGCCTTAAGTCAGATGGAAAAGCCCCACGGTCCTTAGGGCACAGTGGCAAAACAGATTGTGCCTGACAAAATCTTATTTCAGCCATTTGACAATTTCAGGGACTTTGGTGGCAATGACTTTCCAGGTCTTTAGGAGTAGGTGCCATGCTGCATTTCCACAGGGGTGACTTTCCAGAAAGATGATTATGGGCACTGTATTGGAAACATTGCTATTCCACAGGCCCTTGGGTTCAGGGTCTGAGGAGAAGTGATGGTGGTGGTGGTAGTGGTGGTGATGAAGTGTAGAGGTTTAGGGGTGCTGGACCCCCAAAATCACGACACACAGGTCCTACCCGAATGAATTCGACCCAAGCCTTCTTTCAGACAGAGACAAGGTTTATTAAAGATCTGCCGTATTAGCCAGACTCTTAAGGAATCTGAGCATCTGTGAACTATTTGCTAGATTGTAAGAATCTGGAGACAAGATGGACCTTATATACAGAAAGACTGTGGGAGAGATCCAGGACTGGCCAAGTAGTCTGCAGGGACTGTGAGGTAATAGAATGCCAGGGACATGGCCAAGGGAAAATGGAGCCTAGCTAGGATTAAGGGTGGGAAGTGTCCGGGGACCATAGGGAGGTAAGATAATGGAGGGTTAGGCTAGGTTAAGGGTAACAGAGAATTGGGAGATTGGGCATAGCCACAATGAAAGACCAGTTGATGGGATTATGGCCTCAAGTGAAATCCAGAGATTTGGCCATGTGGGAAAGTCCAGGGTTTTTTTTGGGGGGGGGATCCAGATCCCATCCTCATCGGTGGTGGTAGTGATGATAGTAATGTGACCTGTCTGGCTTGCTCTATCTTCTGTCTCTCTCTTATAGTCCCCTGCTACTTCTGCCAGACTCATTTGCCTGCCTTGTATGGGTTAGTTGGTTGGCAGATGATGGGGATGGCTGACCCCTTCTCTGCAGGAATTACTTCCCTAGATGATGGCAATGAGGGCTGAGCTAGAAGCAAGACTAGTGTTCTAAGAGGGCAAAGCAAAGGGAACGATGGAGGGCATCCTAGCAGTGGTGGGTCTTCCTGCTACCTGGCCAGCCTGGATGGAGAACCTTAGAAATTATTTAAGTCATTAATGAAGTATATCTGAGCATGCTTTACTTGAACATTTATATGAGAAGTATGAGCATGGTATAGGGCTTGCCTTAAAATCAAGAAGACTTTGCTTGGTTCAACTCCTACCTTTAATACATACTAGCTAGACCTTGGGCGAATTGCTTAACTTCTCAGTGCCCTCAGGCAACTCCTCAAGACTGTAAGTTACAGTCAGTCAGCAAGTATTTGTTAAGTGCCTGCTACGTGCCAGGCCCTGTACTAAATGCTAGAGATACAACGAACAAGAATGGCAAAAAAAACTGGCCCTGCTCAAGGACCTCACAGTCTAATTGGGGGAGATGATAGGCAATGGATACACAAAATAAATGCGTGGCAAATTGGGGATTGTTTCAGAGGGAAGATTAAGGGGTACTGGGAAAGCTTGCAGAAGGTAGGAATTTAGCCTGAGAACTGAAGAAAGCTAACAAGAGGTAGAGGTGAAGAAAAAGAATTCCAGGAATGGGGGACAGCCAGTGAAAATGCTCAGTCTGGAAATGGGGTATCATGTTCAAGAAACAGCAAAGAACGCCAGGGCCTCTGGAATGTAGAGTATATGGTGGCAAGTAATGTGTCAGAAGACTGGAAAAGTAGGAAAGGGTCAGATTTTGAAGGGCTTTAAAAGCCAAACAGAGGATTTTATATTTGATTATGGAAGTAATAGGGAATTACTGGAGTTTATTAAATGGGGTGGGATGATGTGGTCATACTTTCAGGTAAGGAAGATCAGTTCAACAGGTAAATGGAGAATGGGTTGGAGTGGGAAGAGACTTTTGGGGCACCAACTCGCAGACTGTAGCAGTAGTCCAGGAGTGAAGTGATGAGGGCCTGCATTAGGGTAGTGATGGTGTCAGAGGAGAGGAGGGAGTATGTACTAGAGATGTTATGGAGGTAAAAAATTGATAGGCCTGGCAACAGATTGGATGTAAGTGGAGAGAGTGAGAAGTTGGGAATGAAGCCTAGATTTTGAGCCTTGGGGACTGAGAACATGGTTGTGCCCTTTACAGTAATAGGGAAGTTAAGAAGAGGGGAGTATTTTGGGAAAAAGATAATAAATTTGGACATATTGAGTTTGAGGTGTTTATGGGATGTTCATTCTGAGACTGAAGGTGAGGAGAGAGATTAGGGTTGGACAAATAGATCTGAAAATCATCTGCATAGAGACCAATAATTGAGAGAAGCATCAGGTCAGAGGTCAGAGCTTTGGGAGATGCCTGCTGTTAGGTGAGTGACTTAGATGAAGATCAGCAAAGGGGATAAGAAAGAACAGTCAGGCAGATAGGAGGAGAATCAGGAGAGAAACAGTGTCATAAAAACCTGGAGAGAAGAGAGTATCAACGAGAAGAGGGTGATTGACAATGTCAAAAAGCTACAGAGAGCAAGAAGAAAGAGGACTGAGAAAAGACCATTAGATTTAACAATTAAGAGATTATTGGTAACTTTAGAGAGAGGTATTTCAGTTGAATGATGAGGTCAAAAGTCAGACTGCAAAAATCAAGAAGAGAGTGAGAGGAAAGTAGTGGAGGCACCTATTATAGATGGCTTTTCCAAGAGTAGTCACAAAAGAGAGAAAGAAATATGGGACAATTGCTGTGGGGAGGACAGATCAAGTGAGGATTTTTTTGAGGATAGGAGAGACACAGTCATGTTTATAGGTTGCAGAGAAGGAGCCAATAGATGGGAAGAGATTCAAGATTAGTGAGAGTAGAAATTATAGCTTTCTTGGAGAAGATGAAACAGGATGGGGTCACTTGTACCTAATAGAGAGGTTTGCCTTGGCAAGCACAAGGGCTGCTTCTTCATATAAAATGGGTGAAGGAGAAGATAGTAAAGGGAGACATATGAGTGATGTGCGATAGAAGGAAGAAGAGGGAGCTCCTGGTGAATGACTTGTTTTTTTTTAGTGAAATATGAGGCAAAGCTCTCAGCTGGTAAGAGTCAGGAGGCGAAAGCTATGGGAGGTTTGAGAAGGGATAATGTTTGGAAAAGATGTTGTGGTGAGTGGAATAGGGAATCAATTAGGGAGGTGTAAAAGAATTGCCTAATGCTGCAATGAGGACACAGTTGAGAAAATGCTGCATTCATTTGTAATGAATCCAGTCAGCATGGCTTCATGATTTTCTCCAGCTTTGTCCAGTTTCTACATTGTTAAGTTCTCTATGCTGATGAAATCACAAGAGAGAAGGAGAAGAGAGAACAAACAAGAATGAGGGCAGTATCACTAGAGGGATGTTGAGGCAAGGTTAGCCTATTAATGGGAACTTCCTTTAACATTTTTCTTCTAGGAAAGAAAAATACTCATTTCCAAGTTATTGAACATTAATTTTAAAAGTTTTTTTTATAATACATTTTGGTTTATAAACTTTGAGCCCCTAAAAAGAGGTAATGTGATTCTGAAATGATAAGAATCAAGATAAAGTAGGGAGCAAATAGAATGCATGTTTTCTTCATGCTGAATGTTACAAATGATGAAAAAAGAAAATTCAAATAAGTGTTGTAAGCAAAAAAAGAGGTTGACTGGGGAATATGTTTGTACACCTAATTTGTGTCTATACAATTTAAAAGCAACTGTTTTTTTTTATTGGTCACATTAAACAATTTACCACAATTCAGAACGTTTTTTAAAAGTATTGATGCATTTTGTTTCGACATAACAGATACTTTCCAACACTGAAATAATTTTCCCTACAAAGTACATTGCCCCTAAACAGTTTACTGATTTCAATTCAAAAACATATTCATTATATTGAGGATATAAAGATAAAAAGCAACATAGTCCTTGACCTCAAAGAGCTTACAATCTAGTAGGAGTAGTGAGATGTACATAGAAACATAATACAAGTTGGAAAATGATTGAGTGTGTGGGAGAAGTTAGACAGTAACCTGAAAATCAATTTAAGTCATAGTAGCCTGAAAGTCAATTAACCCAGCTGTTTAAATTACAAAACTGTGGATTTAATAGTCTTCATTGGATACTTGATAATGCTGTGTCCCTTATGAGTACAGAGAAAATATTTATGACAGTTTATTTTGAAATACAATTATAGCAGAATAAAACCATGTTTTCTAATATATAAAAATGTGGTTTTCAAATGCTGGAACAAAGAATTTGAAAATTGAAGTCCTTTATATTGGAAGATTATTCCCTTGAATTAAATGTATGGAATTAAATTGTGTGATTTATTTAATTTTTGTTTTTATTCTTTAATAGGCAAATGAGGTGACGGACAGTGCTTACATGGGTTCAGAGAGTACTTACAGTGAATGTGAAACTTTCACAGATGAGGATACCAGCACATTAGTACAGCATGAAATGCACAACGAAGTGGAAACAGACAGCGCTATTGATTCTGCTGGTCACTCAGAGTGCCCAGATGGCATGGAAGAACCAGAGAATGGGCCATTGCTCCTCACACCTGACAAGTATGTATACAAAATTTATATGAATTTGAAAAAATACTTTCTTTAAATACTAAAACAGGTACATCGAGTATTTGATATTAGTAGTAAAATCTTATTTAATGAATAGTAGACTCATCAGTTAAATTTACTTGTCAAGGAAGTTGTCAGAGTAAATTCACTGCTTAATGTAAAGGGTCTGACTAAGTAACATAACATCTTACAGACCTCATATACAAATAATGGGTCCATACAAAAATTTAGCTTGTGGTTTAGTCATTTTTACCAATATTGATTTATCTAAGACAAATGGCAATACTTTTCCTTATGTCCCAACTCCCATGATCTCTTTCAATATTAATTTCTCTATATAATGGTTCAAACAACCATTCATTAAGCACCCGTTCTGTGCCAAGCTTGAACTATTTTTTGCTCTGGTGATTCCAAATAAATTGATATTTTTATGTATGAATTTTGTTGCTGAGAGGAGAGGAAGAAATGTAGGCAAAAGGAGAAACATACCTTTTGGCTTTGTTCCCACTTTTGATGAAAGGGAGAGATTTCAGTTCAGCAAATGTTTATCAAGTGCATTCTGTGGACAATGCACAGTGCCAGGTAATAAGAAACAAAAATGCGATAAGACACTTCCTCTGCCCTGAAAGGGCTTACAATCTAGTAATATTTTCTAGGAGCATCTTAGAATCACTCAGAATCTGCTTGGAGGCCTCAAATAGGGAACCCTTCCCCAACTCTATGTCAGTAGCCAACTTCGTATGTCATCTCTGACGTAGTCATGAACTCCAAGAGCTTATATTTGGAGATGGGGAAAAGGAAATTTGCAGACTATAGAGCATAAAAGATAACTTGTTATATTTGTTGGCTGCAGTTAGTACAAGGAAACACTGTGGGTCAGTATAGTACCCTCTAGCGGCTGAGGGTTTACTATTTTGACCTGCTAAAATGTTTTCTTCCTGTATTAAGATTTTGTCATTCAATCTAGTGCAAATATTAACCTTCCTGGTAACTTATGTCTAATTAGTGTCTGGCATATATTTGCTACTTAATAAATACTTATTTGTTGATCAGTGGATGAAAAACCTGAAGTATAAGTTATCTAGCTTTCCTGTTAGCACTTGTTACCAAGAATCCAACCATATATGAACAATTTGATGTTTATTTAACACATTGGAAGACTTGGAGGGACTATTAGGTTAATAGAATACTATGGTCTTAAACCTTCTACTAAAGTCTTACTTCATGCCTCATTGTAATATGTAGGGGACTCAGAGTTCCTGATGGCTATACCAGGAATTTGTAAACTCTTGTCAGGTCCTGTAAAGTTGGAAAGACTTCAATAGGAAACTAGCAATGGGCTGTTTATGTACTGTCATTTAGTGAACCTTACTGACTTTTGGCCATGAGATGATTTTTTTTTAGACACAGCATTTCATGAGATAATCTACTGAGGTGTGGGGGGGTTGTGATCTGAATCAGTGGAAGGAGCAAATCATAGATCTTATTTTGTAGGTTAGTTTTTATTTCTTTTCTTTTTTTTTCTTTTTGCTAGGCAACGGGGTTAAGTGACTTTCCCAGGGTCACACAGCGAGTAAGTGTTATGTTTCTGAGGCTGGATTTGAACTCAGGTCCTCTTTTCTCCAGGGCCGCTACTCTATCCACTGCACCACCTAGCTACCCCATTAGTTTTTTATTTCTTAATCATAAACTTAACTTCGAAGTCTAGCCAGACTTGTGGAAGGAAAAGGGAAATGTAATCCAAAAGGAATTGCAACAAATGGGAGCATAAGGATTGTAGAGTATGAGAACAGACAGGGTTTAGGGGTGCTCTCCCTAGCTCCAGAGGACTGTTTGGCAATTAAGACAAACAACAAAACAAACAAACAAAAAAAAAATTCAGGAGAGTTGTCCACAGTCAGCAATAGTGATCTTTTGGCTGGTCTTGCCGTCCCAGGATCTGAAGTGATCCATGGCTTCCTTGATATTCTTACCTTCCTTCACCTGGCCAAAGACCATAAGCTTGCCAATGAATCAGTCAATTTTAACTGTACAGAGGAAAAACTGTGTGCCATTTCTTTTTTTATTTGTTTGTTTTGTTTTTACTTTTTGTTGAGACATTTAGGGTTAAGCGACTTGCCCAGTGTCACACAGCTAGTGAGTGTCAAGTGTGTGAGGTCAGATTTGAACTCATGTTCTCCTGAATCCAGGGCCGGTGCTCTATCCACTGCGCCACCTAGCTACCCCTAGAAGAGATTTTAAAAGGCCAGTTAGTCCAATCCATTCCTGGGGAATCCCTTTTATTCCTGAAAAGTGGGTATCAGTCTTTCTTCTCTTAAGAAACTCTAGTAAAGGGAAACCCACGGCAGTCAGAAGCAGCCCATTGAATTTTGGGTCACTGAAATTGTTAGGAAGTTTTTCCTTATGTCGTTCAAAAATCTACTTTTCTGTAATTTCTACCCACTGCTACTGGTTCTACCTTCTGGGGCCAAGCAAAACAAATTCAACTGCTCTTCTGTGTGGCAGTCTTTCAGATACTTGAACATAGCTGTCATATTCTCCCTGAGTCTTCTCTATACCAGGCTAAACATCTCCACTTCCTTACAATTATCATATGGTACAACTTCTAGTTCCTTCATGATTGTGGTTGCCCTCCATTGGACATGCCTCAACTTCTCAATGTTCTTCCAAAAATATGGTGCTCTGTATAGGTGTAGTCTACCAGAGCCTGAAATTTATACCTCCCTGAGTCTGATCACTGTGTGGTATAGTAAAAAGAGGGCTGGGTTTGGTGTGAGGATCTGAGTTCAAATCCCTTACTACCCTTGTATTCTTGGTCAGGGTCACTTAACCTTGTTAAGTCTTGATTTCCTCATCTATAAAATGAGGGTATTGGATTAGATGATCTCCAAGGTCCCTTCCAGCTCTAAATAAGTGATTTAAAATTTGAATTTATCTTGAGACATTTTTGAATTTTGAAACTTACTTAAAATAGCCAGTAGCATGTGTTGTAAAGATTGTTCAATTCAAATGAAACCAGAATTTTAAAAATTACTTTTAGATTCTCATTTGTTTCATAAAGATTTTGTGAATATCTTTTTAAAGAAAATTTTCATGACAATGTTTTGGAACTTTTGCCATCTTAGTAAGATCATTACATTGCAAGCCAACATTATGTGATTTTCCAGTAACTTCTGGGGAAAGTGTTAGAACAAAAACTAGTCCCTCTCAAGAAATTTGGTTTTCTTTATAGCAACTTTGAAGTCACAACCAGTCAAGTTTTCATTGAATTTGGCCCTGTGAAATTTCCACCCAACGTCTTTTGCAGAATTATAGTATTTGAGAATTGGAAGAGTACTCGGTGGCCAAGTAGTCCAATCTCTGCACAAAAGGAATCTCTACTGTCATTTCTTTGGCAAGTGGTTGTACGGCCTCTACTTAGACATTTGAATGTCTACGACCTCTTGAGGCAGTCATCCCACTTTTACACAGCTCTAGTTGTCAGGAAGTCTATCCTAACATCAGGCCTAAGTTGACCTCTTTGAAACATCTGCCCTCTGAGGACAAAGAGAGCATGTCTAATCCCCCCTCCACATGATAGCCCGTCAGATTCTTGAACATGGGTATTCTCTCCCCCCTGAGTATTCTGCAGACTAAATATGCCTAATTCTTTCTGCTGATCCTCACAGGAGATGGATCCAAGACCCTTCATCATGCTGATTTCTCTCTTCTGGACACTTTGCAGCCGCCCAGTGTTCTTCTTAAACCATAGTGCCTCAAGCTAAACACAACACTCTAGATAAGGTCTGACCAAGTCAGAGTACAGTGAGACCATCACCTTGCTATTCCTAGGAGTTATGTTGAATAATGATTTTATTCCTCAGCATTTTAAAAATCGAATACTAACCTTTTATATACATTTACTCATATTCTTGCTAACTAGGTGTCATAGTAGATAGTGCACTGGGCTTGGAATCAGGAAGCCTCATCTTCATGAGTTCAAATCCAGCCTCAGACACTTACTAACTATATGACCCTGGGAAAGTCACCTGTTTGCCTCAGTTCCTCATCTGTAAAAAATGAGCTGGAGAAGGAAATGGCAAACCACTGTAGTATCTTTGCCAAGAAACACCCCTCCTCTCTACCATGGGGTCACAAAGAGTCATTGGGCATGACTGAAATGACCAAACAACAACAGTTATTTCACAGTTTTCTGTTCTTTTCCACTATCTATTTCCTTCTTTTTTTCAATACCAGACGATTCTGATAAGCACTGCTTTACAGTACGATAATACTAGTCTCTCTTTACAAGTTTTCTTTTTCATAATTCTTCTTGATACTTTGCTCATCTATTTTTTCATATAAATTTTATTATGTCTGTCTAATTCTATGAGTTAACCAAGTATTGCATTAAATATATACGTTAATTTTTGAGGTATTGACATTTTTATTAGTAGTTGAGCTAGCATTTATATAATACTTTAAGGCTTGTGTTTTACATATATCATTTGATCCTCACAACCTTAATTTACTACTGTTATCCCCATTTTATATATGAGGAAACCAAGACTGAGGCAGAGAGATTAAGTGACTTGCCCAGAATCACGTAATTAATATCTGGTCCAAGATTCGAACTGAGGCCTTCCTGTCTCCAAGTCCAGCACTCTATCTACTGCCCCATTTAGTTGCCTCCTAATCTAACCATGAACAGGAAATTAGTCCTTCATTTGTTCAGCTCTTCCTTGATTTCTGTCAAAAATCATTTTAAAATTTTCTTAGTGTAGATTTCTTATACCTCCTGATAAGTTAATGTCCAAATACTTGATATATTTTGTAATTACCACAAAGTGCATCTCTCAATTTTTATTGATTCTTACTGGTGTTTTATAGGAATGTGGATGAATTTGTAGGTTTATTTTATATCCTTGTACTTTATTAAAGTAGTTTATTATTGCCAAAAATTGAGGGTGCTAAAGTAGACGTGCCTGTTATATAGCTATTTTTAATGGGAAAGCTTCTAGTGTTTCTTGTATATAATAATAGTTCATGGATTCAAGTATATACATGCCATATTATAGAAAGTCCCTTCTATGTTTATATTTTAAAATTATCTATTCACATAAGTGAATTCTTTTTTGCTTGTCAGTTTCTTATCAGTCAATTTTATCAGTCTCTTTCCATTTAATTATATGATCATGTAGTGTTTATTTTTCCTATTTTAATTGCTTTTTGTTGTGTAAAATCTTTATTTTTGTATCATCAAATCCATCAACTTTTTCTCCAAAATTTTTTTCATAAGTAAAAATATCATTCCTCTTAATTCCTCTGAGACAAATACTTTACTTCCCTTTTGTTCCAGTTTTTTAAGTTTTGAAAATAAAAGATTAGTATTTTATTTAAAAAGCACTAAGGAAGAGAATCATTATTCAATAAAAAATGATTGGGAAAACTGCATTGCTATGTGTATGGCCAGGAAAAAAAAAAGGTTTGGGTCTATACCTTACAACACAGGCTACATTAACCTCTAACTAGATCAGTGATCTATCTATCTATATAAAATTTGTATTTATTTGGTATGTATTTTGCTTTCAAGGCAGTAAGGAAAGCCATCCTTAGAGCTAGGAAAAATTGGATTCAAGTCCTGTCAAACCTATAGTGGCTGTGTAACCCTGGGCAACTTGTTGGTGCCATCAGGCAAGTCTCTAAAAAGAGAAATTACAGAACAGCTACAGATCAGTGTTGGTAAAGGGTGTTTCCTCATCAGGAGTTTGCTATGCTAATGAACCCAAAAATCTAGACCAAAAAAAAAATATATAGTTTCTTTTTATTTTTCTGTGTACATGTTATTTTACCCCAGTAAAACATAAGCCCCTTAAAGACAGGACTTGTTTCCATTTTTTTCTTTGTATCCCTAATACTTGGCATAGTGTTGAGCAAAGAGTAGGAACTTTATGAATACTTGAACTGAGTTGTTGTTACTGTTGGAGAGTTTTCCAGTCCATCTCTAGGATTAAGCTGAAGCCACCTTCTTCCTGTTCCTTCATGAGGCTCTTATCTCCTGGCTTTGTTCTTCTTTGTTCTGTCTGGAATAAACTCCCCTTTCACATCTACCTCCTCAACCAAAGACAAGAATTCTTGTTTCCTTCAAAACTACTCAAGTGCCACCTTCTCCACAAAGCAACCTTTCCTGATCCTCCTAGCTCCTAGTGTCCACTCCCCCCCCCCCCCGAACCTTGTATTCATTTTGTCTATATTTTTACAAATACTTATTAATGTCCATAAATGTACGTAAATTATATGCAACTATCTCTCTGGTAGAATGTGAGCTCTTAAGGTCAGGGACTATTCATTTTTGTCTTTGTATCTCTAGTGCCTAGCATTATGCCTAGCATATAGTAGGCATTTAATAACTTGATTAATTAATAACTTCAATGAAAAGAAATGACTCATAAATACCTGTATTAATAAAGAGCACTAGACCTAGGGTCCAGCTTGGGCTGTGCCACAGACCAGCCACCTGATTTGAGGCAAATTACTTAACATCTCTTTACATCCACTTCCTCATCCAGTAAATGGGATACCAGTTCCTAGCCTATAATGTCCAAGATCCCTTCCAGCTCTAAATTTGTGATTCTTTGGCTATAATTATATAAAAGAAAGAAATAAAAATTCAAAAGCAGACAAACTTTATTGACTTGGAAAGGAAGCCCCAAACAAGTGTTTTGTTTTGTTTTGTTTTTTGCTTTTGTCTTTTGTTAATTCATTTAAATTTTTGCTGTTGAATACTAAGAATTTTATGTAAGTATTCCTTATTTTACATGGTTATTTCATTATTTCTCTTGGTAGTTACTGTTTAAAATTGAACATTTTATAAAGGAGTCCCATACTTGAAAAGGTTGGGAAACACTGTCTTACTACTCATGTATATTGGCATACTTTGAAAATTCTTTCCAAGAACTATCATGTTTCTAAAATAAAAGCTTAATCTTAACAAAAGGAAATGACACTTTTAAGTAGAGTGTTTTTCTCTGACCTTTGCTGTTAGAAAGAAGCACTTTGTTCTTTTGTTAACGCTGAGGACAGCACATTATTAGATAAGGATCTTGGACTACAGATTTGGAGTTTGGAGTCAGGTGAAAACTGAATTTTAATAGTATTGTTCATAACATTTTAAATGTGATCGATTCTGATCCATTATTTCTTTATTCAAGCAGAGGCTCCAAACTACTAGGAGTTAATGGAACATAACCTTTTCATTTGTTAATAATAGTACATTTTTTAAAGGCAAGACATTTTAAGTCATGTTCAGTGACTGTGGATACACAACTGCATAATTTGTAACCTTCTCTCTATTCCACCGGTAGCCTTGAACAAGCATTGAACCCACTGTGGTTCTGTCAGATCTTTTAAAAATTGTTTCAATTAGAATGACCTTTATGATGATACTGTGGATTCTTTTTTTTTCTTTTTTTTCTTTTTTTTTTCCAGGCAATTGGGGTTAAGTGACTTGCCCAGGGTCACACTGCTAGTAAGTGACAAGTGTTTGGTCTGAGGCCGAATTTGAACTCAGGTCTTCCTGACTTCAAGGCTGGTGCTCTATCCACTGTGCCACCTAGCTGCCCCGATATTGTGGATTTATAGGGCCTCAAAGATTTCAAAGCTTACCTTTACATGGTAGAGGTATTAAAAGGGTAATTATATTAAGCAACGTTATGCAATAAATGAAAAGCATACTGAGTGGGCAGTTGAAAACCCAGCTCGTCTAAAAGCCTTTGTCCTAAGTGAGTTTTCTGTGTCCATGTCTGTTTCTTGACCTTACCAGTGACCATCTTCTCTTGTCTCTTAAATTCAGTCTTAAGAAGCCCAGGTTCTTCTAGCACTTGTTTCAGTAGGGCTCCTTGACAGAATGATAATGCTTCCTTGCCTTTTTACTCTTTGCTCTTTTAGATCCCTCCCACGTGACCTGTCCTTGAGCTCAGACCTGAACAACCACTCCATCGTTACCGTGATCAGTGGGGAGGAGCATTTTGAAGACTATGGAGAAGGGAATGAGGCAGAATTGTTTTCTGATAATTTGTGTAATGGAGAAGCCAGCTTTAGCAACTCTTTTCTTTCTCCCAGGTAAAAACACGCCAGTAGTGGTGTTGTGGTTTTTTATTTCCTTGACTTTGTTGTCTTTAATCACCAGGGTTGCCTTTGCCTTTTTGGTTTGTAAGGGGGAAGAAGACTTAAATGTAGAATAATTTCACCAATCTTTTGAAGCATTGTTACTTAACTGAGTAAAAATTGATAGAAGGGTCACTCATATCTACACTTTTAGTTTCATAAGATTCTTTGGGTTTAGTAGCATTGTATGGGCTCTTCCATTCCCATTTTCTATTATTGTTTCTGACCATGAACCTCATTTCTGATACTTTTAATATTCCAGGAATGACCCTTCAAAAGTTTATGATTAGTAGTCCTTAGATAATATATGTATGTCATATATATGCATATGTGTTTTAAAATATGGACACAACTGTCTTTGAAGATTTTTATATATGTCAATAAAAATCACCTTTTTTTGCCAGTTAAGAAGTTCTGTCATTTCATGTTTAAAGTTATTATCATATGTACTCAGCTCTTATTACTTTTTATAGTAAACCCTGTAACTTTTCCAGTTGAAGAAAATGCAATTAAATTATTTCTGACTTAATTGGTATGGTCATAAGAAGTAGCATGTCCATAAAAATCAGTGATCCCTTCAGAATTCCCTGTTCCTTCTGTGTTTTTGGTAACAGTAGCACTTTATGCCTTAAACGAAATAAAAATTTTAAGGTAGGATTTTGACCCATGAATGTCTAAGATTTTTCTCCAATGCTGTTTGGCAGGGCAAATATTATTCCCTGGTCCCAAAATGAACCAGGTCTAAAACCTGAAAGAAATTCAGTACTTTATATCATTTTCTATTTACTTTTCATGAAACTTCCTTAGTATTTAAATTTTTTTCAATTTGTATTGATAGCTTTTTGTTGTTTTCCTCACCTTTGGGGAATATGCCACTATCCAGTAATCCATTTCCATAGAAATATTTATGCTGTCTTGAAATGGATTCTAGAAGAGTAGGGTCTGTTAGAAAACTGTGTCTCTATCAAAAATTTGTAGGACTAGGAAAAAATGTGCTAAAAGAACCAGCAGTTCACTCTTCACAAACTTGGTACTAATCTCGTGAAACTCTCCTTAGCATGTAGACAGTTGCCTTACCCTTTAAAAAGCACTTTGTATAGGCTTTTAAGTTCAGCCCGTATATCTCACACGTTGCTCTGCTGATTTCATCACCAAAGGTTAAATGACTTGCACAAAGTACAGTCAGTGCCAGAGCTGGGAGGACTTGGGATTGTGAGAAGTCAGGAAGCCCCTCCTTCTACTTGTTAGCAGTGGCAGGAGCTTGAAAGTTGCTTTATTGCCTTTCTCCTTTTCTCAGTATGAAAGCTTTTTTCTAGGTTTTATGACCTGAGAAGAGAAACTGAGCAGTAGTAGAGTACCAGGCTTAATTAAGGAATTTTAACCTAAAAGCCACATAGCAGCTACTGCACCATTTCCCCCCAGTGTTTAGATATTTTGAATTAAGAACAAGATTTAGTGTTTTAAAGAGAAAACCTTTAAGTATTTTAAATTGGATATGTCAAGTCATGATCATGTTAAACAAAAATAAATATAGAAACAAAAATAAATATAGGACACAACCATGGGCAATTAGCATGTGATTCATAGAAATAAAACACTCTGATTTTTTCATCTAATGTAATTGAATTAGCAAAATGATCCCTTTTAGACTCTAATATTGATTTATGCAATAACTATTGAAATAGTTGCAAATGTAATGGGATAGATTATTACTTCAGGCCGTAAGTAGGATAGATGTTATAGGTTTTGTTTCTCTGTTATTGGCTGCAGAGTGTTTTCTATAGAGTCCAGTACAAAACCTTTGAGTCTTAGAATGATCAGAGACATAACCTGAAGAATTCATGTATAAATCTCTTAGGTTTTTCTCTGGTTACTTTTCATATTTTTATGCAATTTTTGTCCTATTTGGGCAAACAAGAAATGTTAATTATTTGCTTTTAAAATGTTATTTGTAAGAAAAATGAAGCTTTTCTCACTTGGTTTTGTCAGCTTATAAGTGCCAGGAAGAGAAATTTTAAGGTAATATTTGGAAACAGAAGGGATGTCAGTACCCTGAGACAAGGAAAGAAAAATTAGCTCTAATACATACATAGGCTTTTGTTTTTCAAGTTACCAGAGGTGCATAAGAACTTGAGAGCCTACTTTCTGTCCTCTTATGATATGAAATGCCTACCGTTTTTCAGGAAGGAATTTGTGATATAATGGGGACTTGTGACAACCCCTCCCCCCTCATCAATATGAGTATTTTCATCACTCACCTAAATTCTAAGTACAATTATTTTACAATGAAACCAAGTTAAGAATTTGGATAGTAAAATTAGTACAGATAAAAAAATTGCTTTTATTGTGGCAGTTCTAATTAGTTTGGGTTTTTTTGAAGTATCAACTAAAAATGTAAATTCTAGTCAGGAATATCTGAAATAGATAAGTTTTATCTTGTTTTTTCCTGTGTTGTGTTATTTGTAGTGGTTAGAGATCTTTCTTGAAATAATATTTTTACTTTTTACCGCTGAAATAATATTCCTGTTATCATAGTGTTGCTGCAATACATTTCCTTTTAGAGAACACCAGAAATTATTCTTTTCTGTCACACTTAAGAGAAAACAACCCAATGCAGTATGGTCCAGATTTTATGTCTTACCTGTTTAATGCATGTGTGTTTTAAACATTATTTTCTTCTACTGTATATTTTATGAGAGTATAAAACAACTTACAGAATTTCGTTTAGCTTATATGATTAAGAAGATCAAGTATATCCTGTAAAATATGCTACTATTTTGATAGCCTGCCTCTATTTGTTCACTCTATTTCCTATCCTCTTGTGTGATGTTTCCTTTTTTTTCTGTTTAGGTATAATTTCTATGTGAAACTATATTTCAATATTATCTATCATTTATATTAAGCTTGTGGCTTCCAAAAGGTATTGTGTTTGAAGATAGCCTAGATATATTCCATTATAGTCCTCATTGCCCATTAACAAATGGTTATGAGCATCCTCTATAAAATTGAAAATTCAATTAAAATTCAACCATGGGCAATTAGCATGTGATTCATAGAAATAAAACACTCTGATTTTTTCATCTAATGTAATTGAATTAGCAAAATGATCCCTTTTAGACTCTAATATTGATTTATGCTGTAACTATTGAAATAGTTGCAAAGTCAATTCCAGAGGATTCATGATTAAACAGACCACCTCTATGATTAAATTCTCCTCCTAACAGAGAAGTAATGGAACTCAAAGTACAAATTAAGACTTTTTTTGGACGTGGCCAATATCAGGAATTTGTTTTGTTTGACTGTACATATTTGTGGCAAATGTTTTATTTTTCTTTCTTTCTCAGTGAGGGGTGGGGGAGGGGAGAAAGCAGAATTTCATTGATTAGAAAAAAGTTAAAAATTAGTCGTAAAGTATTACTTGACTTCTTCAGAAGATCCATTTTCTTGGTGTGTGTATTCCTTCCCTTGATGCTGAATGAAAACCTTCAGTGTTTTAGCAAACAGTTTTCATAATTGCTGTGGCCAGTCATGTAGTGACCAGCCTCCTTCTTCTTAACTAGGCTGATTGTTGTAGAGCAGACCCACAGGCATGTGCGACTGGAGCCAAGCTCACAGAATCTTAGCATTGAAGGGGACTTCAAAGTCATCCAATCTAACCTGTACCTGAACTATACCATTTCCTCTACAACATACCAAAAAGGTGATCATCCAGTTCCTGCTTTGTGAGTTCCCATGAAGGGGAACTTAGCCCCTTCCACTTTTGTCCAACTCTAACCATTTGAACTATCTGGAAGTTGTTCTTGATGTTGATCCTAACTCTGCCCCCTTGAAACTTCCACTCATTGTCCCTCATTCTGCCCTCTGTGGCCCAGCAGAAGTTCATCTTCTCTTCATGTGACAGTCCTTCACACACATGAAGACAATGGTCATGACCCCCATGCCTTCCCTGCTAGAGACTCAAGATCCTCAGTTTCTTTAAGCATTCAACAAGTGTTTGCTAAATGCTTATGATGCACCAGGCATTGGGCTAGATACTGGAGATGCAGAGATAAAGCTGGAACTGTCCCTGGGCAAGTTTTTCCTACCATTTCCTAATTAAGAGCATGACAGTATAGACCCAGTACTTGGGTGCACAGTACAGTGGGATAATCAGTTCCTTTATCCTTATAATTGCCCTTCTCGTAAGATGACACTGGCCTCTTTAGCTGCCGTTTCAAGCTGCTGGCTTGTATAGTTATTACATAGAGTTTGAAGTCCACTAAATCCTGATCCTTTTCAGACCAGCTACACCTCACCCATCTTGTGAATGTGAAGTATATATAAGTGTAAGACTTTACATTTATCTCTTTTTAAAAAATCTAGACCTGTGATTTTATTGGTGTAGGGAACTTCCAGTAAAAAAAAAAAATTCCTTCTACCAAAGCTGATCTACAACTAACTGTTCAGCTTAGAATCTTAGAGAGGGGCTTGGGTCACTGGGCAGATAAGGGACTTACCCATCATCACCCCACATTGTGTGTCACAGGTGGGACTGGAACTTAGGTCTTAGTGGCTTCAAGGCCATCTTTATACACTGTAGCACTACAGCTACCTCCCCCTACCCCATACATACACACATCCATCCCTGCTTATGTGCATGTGTGTGTCTTTATATGGCAGTTGTGATGTAATGGATATGATGGATTGGGAATTGGAAGACTTGGGTTTGAATCCTGGCCCAGCCACTTAATAACTATGAAAACTTGCCTAAGTCATGTAAGTTCCCTCCCTCAGTTTTCTCATTCATTAAATGGGAATGATACTCTAGAGTCTGAGGACCTCAGTTCAAGTACCACCCTTGACATTACCTTTATGACCTTAGCCCAGTCACTTAACACCCCTGGGTCTCGGTTTCCTCATCTGTTAATTGAAGGGTGGGGTCAAACTTGGTGGCCTCTAAGTCTCCATCGGCTCTA